AGTAAATTTTCAAATAGTATTGCATACGGTTATTCTATAATGAAGATAAAATTTTGATTCTTGAAATTAATTAGGAACACCCTGCCGAAATAGAAACACCAATATAAAGAAATTAAGAAGAAAGCTTGAATACATATAGCCCTTGGTGTAGAGCAAAATTTTGATCTATGATCTCGGTTATAAAACCATAAGACAAATAAATCTGGTAGTAAAAAAATAAGAAATAAAAAAAGGCGGGTATGTTTATGACCTACAACAGAGAGCAAAACACTGGTACCTGGGTTCGGCTGTAAGAAAGTTAGTTAATACAACTGCAAGTGAAAAAATTCGTAAAAAAAAAAGAGCAACTAAGCATTTTATACCTTTAATTTATGATTGAGAGTGAATTAACAGTCCTTGCAATTGGCCATAAAATTATAAATAATTACAACCCTCAGTGAATAAATTCTCAGATACTTGTATACCTATAACTCACAATTGATGGTGGAGCTTTTAACCTTAGTCTTGAATGTGATAAAACTAGACAGATACAATGGAAGGTAAGTGAATAATAAAATAAACAATGCATATCTGTGACTTTTGATGGAAAGTGGAGTGTTGACTGTTTGTATCCACCACAAAAAAAAATAAGCAAAAATAATATATAGCAAGAAAAAGTTTAAAGAAAGTGGTATATCTATAATCTTGAATGAATATCAGAACCTTGGTCGATGATTTTTGCGGCTAACACATTGGTCAAATCTATTTATAATAAATAAAAATTCAAACATATATATATATATATATATCTAAGACACTTGTTGGATAATGGAATCTTATTCGATGGCTTTGACTATTAGAACGCTAGAAAGTTATAACAAATAGTAAGTAAAGCATCAAAAATACTTGTGTGTCTCCAACCATGCGTGCAGATCTGATCCTTGATATTTGATCTTGATTTGTGAAAAGACTAGCCAGCTAAAATCAGGAGTAGGCATGTATTTGTTAAATATTACATATTGGGTGACCCGGGTAGAATCCTGACAGTTTAGGTCTTGTTCCTTAGTATAGACAGTCTTGGATGGATCTGTGATCAAGGGTATTGACTATAGTATTTTATTTTCCCTATGTATTGTTTTTAACATAGTGTTTTTTATCTTGAAACTGATACTATTTAATATGACGCATACCTGTAATAGAGGTAGCAACTTACTTGTATTGAACACGATACATCTTTAACATGTATTTTGATTAAAAGGGTTTTTGAGATAAGTGGTAGATTATTGTATAAACTATTGACGTTATCTATAAGAGAGCTGTTTGATACTTCTTTTTGTTTTCGTTAAAATGATAACTTGATCATACATTATAAAGTCCATTTTTTTCTTTTTTCTTTTTAGCTTCTTTTATGTTTTACTCTGAGAAATATATATATTTCTCTTTTCTTTAACATATATTTTCAAAATATGGAGTTTGACAGTTAAAGAAGTATCACTTACACTTAGGAAGATGTGCTGCGTAAATACATGCTTTGCCTTTATTTTTCTTATTTTTATTTGGTTTCATGTCTCATGTGGTCCATGCTGTCTGTGTAAGATCACATGTGTCATGATACTTTGATGGAAAATGTTGCAATATAAGTTGGAGCTTAATATTAGAATAATAGTACTTAAACAAAAGCTACCGATTGATTGACTACATACGTGTCAGTATATTGGGTTGCTATGGACCCCCACCCACTTTTTTTTCTTATTCTACTTCCTGTAGGGATTCTATTAACTAAGTCTGTGTTCTTAGCTGCTCATCGAGATGCTATGCATGTTTTTGCGTTCGTCTTAGATATGGTACTGATATACAGAATATTAATCGACCAGCTGTTTTACTGTAATAAATAAGTGTAAATTTCTGTAAATTATGAAGCTTTAATCAAACTCTTGTGTACGTTTGCGTGTTTGTTTGTTTGTTTATTTATTGGCTTCATATGTGATGACTTTATTAGTTTAAGAACCCCCCAAAAAAACAGCTCATTACAGCTTTTCTTCTATTTCGTATGAAAGACATCCCCTTCTCTTTGGGCCTTTGCAGCAATGTCTTGAGTTAATAAATACAAGGTGTCGAAATACTTTCTTGAAATAAAAGTACTATTGTGCTTTAGTATGTAGATATTTACTGGTTTCCTACAGAAAATTGTTTGTGCCTCAAGCTAAATCATCGTTCTTAGAGCAATATAAGAGTAAAGAAAAAAAGAAAAGAAAAGAAATGGGTCTAACCTAGTGTTTTTAATGGTACTAGTTTGGTCACAGATAGAGCAAGCAAGTAAAATGACTACTACATATATACAAGGCGCCTTTTAAAGGCTCTGCTTATTTACTATTTTTTTCTGTTATTGCTCAGACTGACTGACGGCACAATATGAAAGCAAAGAGACAATCTACTGATACTGAACGTATAGGTTCTATTTGGTTGGGAGCAAGACGCTATCGATTACTAATTATCGATTTATAGGATCTAGTGCTTTTGATATTTTGCGCTTGTATACCAAACTCAACTGGATGCCCGAATAACCTAGAAATAATACTCTGTTGGATTAAAGGCTTTGATTTATAACTTTTGTTTTGTAATACAATATAATGCGCTACAGTACTGTATAGTATGATTCCACTTATTACTTTGAGGTTCATAGTCTAGCTTTGGTTCGCTTGAGACTATTTTAGTTTGAAGCACGGAGCCTTTGTATAAATGAACCTTTTCTATGGTCGATTAAATATGAGTGTACTGGAAATGATATTTTTTAAGATTTCTACAAGCATATGCAAATGCACACCAATGGTAATCATAGCTTTTCAATTATAGAAAATTAAAAATCGAATCAAATAAGCAATGTTTTTTTTTTGGCTTTAAGTAACCTGGTGAGATACATTGTGATCCACCTCTTCGAGGTTTATTATATTACAATTACTCGAATTTTGATCAAAATATCCGACTTTTCACTCTCAAAAAAGCATAGAACCCTGAAATTTGGAAAACTTGCACCACTTCAATAAGCTCTTTAAATGCCCAATAGCAAAAATACGAGTTGTTTCTAAAAGTACAATTCGGCTTAGTCAAATACATGAGTTAGATACTATAAAAAGCATCAATTGTTGTATTCAAGATCTGGAGGTATCTTTTTTTTTCAAAAACATATCATTTAGCACAAGTGATACTTTAAAGTAGTTGTATATTTATATTTTACTATAGGAAACCAATGGGCAATTCAGATAGTGATTTTGAAAAATATTATAATTTTTTTAAAAATGGCCCTCTGAATTTTCCCTCTTTCTCTGTAGTGCAAATACAATCTTAGATTTATATCTTAATAAAGTGCCAAGTCAGTGCTGTTGTAGAGTCGGCATTACCCTTGTCAGTTAATAAATCGACCAAGTCGATATTGGTATTTAGTAAACTGAGAGCTTGACTAGCTTCTTTTCTTTATTAAAGATAATAACTCTATGTATATATAGCTTACTCTTGTTTTTGCTCTCTCTGATTCAAAAATAAAAGGAATTAAAATATTTGCGATTGAATCTTATGCCTATGAATATTCAAAAATATTATATTTCTGACAATACTCGCTGTAATAATTATGTTCCAATATTATTCTAAAGCAACCGAGTTGACCTAAAAGTCTTGTACTTTTCTCATGTATTTGGTATATATATATATATATCTTTATTAAATAAATCAATAGAATCATTTTTAATCTGCTATCCTCTTCAACAAAAAAAAACACATTTTTAATTTTTTGTTGTTGTAGTTGATTGAAGACGCTAATGTTGTAATTATGAGAGTTCAATTGGATTAACATGTGTGAACATTGTGAATGGCATGCATTGGAATGAGAGAAAGTGAAAAAAAAAGTAAAAATAAAATAAAATAAAATAAAGAAAAGATGTGACATGAATCGAGTACACAAGTAAGGCCTTCATTGTATATACACAAACTATCCATAAAAAAATCAATTTGAATACATCTACGAAACAATCATTCTTTCTACAAACTTTCTTGTGATTTGAATATTAATGAATTCTTGGTGCTTTTCATTTATTACTGCATACACACACAGTTATATTCATAGTAAAAAAACAATAATTTTAATCAAAACAAGAAAAGTAAAAAAAAAGAAAGTATTGATACGTTACAAAATACATCCTTTAATATTTTGTATAAAAATAATCTGCCCAAGATGCGCAGGTAGTTCTCATATTATAGCTCTTAAAGACAAGTTGATAGACATATGGTATATTCAGTAAGCAAGATACGGATTTCTTAAAAGAAGCATGTCTTTATATTTAACTACATGGAGTAGAACAGATTTTTGATAAATGCTGGTTATTAGAGCCAATTCATTAGCAGAGTTGATTTGTAGGTTTATTTTTTGTTTTATTTAGGTGCAGTCCGAGTGCTCAAAATATACTTCTGCTGTAGAATTGTTGTAATGATTAATATACAATATCTTCTACAGATATTTTTGGGTCGTTATCAACAAGGTCCCAAATGAATTGATCGTGTTTTAGAGTTAATTTTTTTAAGAAAATGTGTAGTGTATTCGGAACTATAAAGTAGTGCTTCAATAATTTCACGGCCAAAGGGGGACCAAGTGCCTTGAAATTATTGAAGAGTGAAATTAAAGGGGATTGAAATTATCGAGGGACCAATGTAAAACAAGAAACCTAATAGTGATTTCTCTGGTGAGAGTGTATAAAATGCTTAATACAATTGAGCATTTTAGAGATTATCTGCTCTGATAACCGGTAACTCATTCCACCCAAAAGAATATTTCATCAAGTCCTTCTTATATATTCAAATTCACTATTTTGTACTATACATACAACCCAACACTCCAAAAACACACACACAAATTAAACTATATTTTACTATCCAAATTTTTATTGCTTGCCATATTGCACTTAGGCTGTTGCTCACAGTATGTGTTTCTTAATTTTATTATTATTTTAAGATGAAGCAATGGCAACTTTTCTCTAGTCGTCGTAATTGCCAGGTGGATATATACCACCAGTAATATAATCAGCCACCTTGCCAAATCTAAATTCGCCATATCCTTTGAAAAGTTCGTATTCCCAAAAGGTCTCCGGTTCATCTTCGTCAAAATAGCTGCCGTCTCTTAACTTAATGCCGGTTTTTTTGGGCTTGAAGTCTTGGAAGTATTGTTGTGCATAATCACCTTCTTCTTCTAAAAGCTCATAGGTACCTTGCCGGTGATACCGTGAAGTCACAAAGTACCCATATGTGTAGACCCAGCAAATGGTGTGACTTATCATTGTAGGTGCTTTTGGGTCCGCAGCCTCCTTTCTTTTCCTTTCGTTCAGTTCATCTGCTAATATAGGGTCGTATAATTGAGTCAAGTGTGTCATGTTTATAGCTTTTGTTATATCGAATTCTTGGTTCGATGTGATATATTGGACTTGGTCTATGTGAAGATCCTGTAAGAGGGTATATGGCATATCGATGAACAAACGTCCGGTTTTCTTAGAAATAGATCCAGTGATCCACAAAGAGCCTAAAGCCATGTATCGCAGCTTTCTACACCTGAAAGAGAGGCGACGGAATACTTTGGCGGATGTAGTGCATTCAAATAAGGTCAAGATCTGCAGCGCATGATGCTGCTTTGGTTTATTGTCTATCGTTCTTGGAGTAACGAACAATTCCTCTCCACTGAATCCCAGCTGTTTGAGGGCAACGCATCTGTCCAACAGGTCATCCAAATCGATAGATACAATGTGGCCACTGATACAAAGATACGTCAAAAGCGGGTAGTAAGATGATAGTCGCAGCTTCGGATTGAGGCTACTCTCAAAATATATAAATCCTTTAAGCGAAAGAGTTTCGAGTGTTCTAGAAAATGATTGCAGAATTCGGTCGATATCCATTGTATGTGAATGATCTGCGCCTTGGTTTACTGTTGCATCCAAGTCCAGATGTTTAAGAGGGACTCTTAATGCCCAAAGCACATCCCACAAAAAGAAATCCGAGGATTCGAAATATCTGTCGTTTGCGAAGTGGAATGTTTCAAGGTGTTTAAATGCGTTTGGGTTGGACTGAAAAAGCGATATGATTTTTTGCTTCTGGTCAGAAGTAATCGGGTTATGACATGTCTCGGTGGCATCTATTTTCAGCGTATGCACGTTTGGATACTTGTAACCAAAGTAGTACAGCCACAAAGGATTCCATTGATTCGTGTATTCATATCTGCTCACGTATTTCTTCGAATTTATATTTAGGGATTTCACACCAAACGCGGGTCTCGTATCCGGAATCTTGCCCAGTGCAGACGAAAAGTCAGGATTGAGATACATGTCAACCTTGATCGAAGAAAGTTGCCGCAGATTTTGGTGCATGACGTCAAAGTCGTTGACGCTAAACTCGATGCGATGATTGAATGGACTCGCGCTTATTTCTAGTTCTTGTAGTCTGCAACATGTATTTACGAATTCAAGGAGGTTTTTCCCAGGTCGTATCCATTCACGTTTGTTGCTGACAAATTTCAGGCTTTCCAGAGACTTCCATACACTGTACGATCGAGTTGTCTTTGTGTAAATATCCACATAGCTTACATTCCCCAGGTCAAGATGCCTCAAGTTCGGCAGGTACATAAGGATATCCGTATCTTGTACGCCTTCCATATTACAGTAAATAGGTATATTTAGGCTTTGAACTGAGAGACCAAGTGATATAGATTCACGCTGGGATTCTTGGATAGTGGCAACCAAGCGTTTGGCGGCTTCAATGGTAGTAATACGTATGTTTCGCCACAGGACCCTTTGAAACGGATATCTCCATTCCTTGCACGTAAGAGCACAAGATAGTCTGTCCTTTGTTGATAGATAATCAGCAATTTTTGTAAGAATTTCGTTTGGTATATTTGATGCTGTCATAACGATGATTTTATAAATGGAAGAAAGAGGTTAAAATCGAATATATCGAAATAGAATAAATAAAATAAAATAAAATAAGAAACTGTGACACTGATATTAAGTTACAAATCCGGGTACCCTTGAATCATTGAGGTAACCTATAAAAAATGTACAAAGCACACACCTCTCCACACAAAATTAGAAGGTGAAAAAAAATTGGTGCTTATGCAAGTGTTCTTGACAGAATATATACACATATACATAGTATATACTCAATATATAATACTTATTTCCAACTCAATGCTTATTTGTGGTTTTAGAATGAAATAAGAAGCGAATGGCTTCCTTTCATTTGGACTCTATACCACTGTATCCTAATCCTTAAGAGACAACAAAAAAAGGGAAAATAATGACATACAGCCGAAAGCAAACCAGGCTTCGAGTGCAACTAAAAACACACTGTTTTTGTTATTGTTTCGAACATTAAACATATTTATTCTCTCAGCAACAGCCCAGATCAAAGTACCCTCAGGTAGTGCTCATAAGTTGGGTCAAAAATGCTGAGTTTATTATAGACAAATGCTGGTAAGAAAAGCACGCTTCCTTTCCGTAGAAAGAAAAAGCGCTGAGAAAATGGAGAACAGATTTGTTGGAGATAAGTCAGTGTATGGACTCTGATATGGATTACATGAGCAGCTGTCATGGACTATTGCATTACTTCAATTTTCTTGCAAGTATAATGGATGTCGTGGATGGTATTTCCATTCACAAGCGTAGAGTTGTACGAAAATATAACAGGAGCTGAGGGTGTCGATGCTATATAGATACTCTCCTCCTTTCCCACATGCCTCACCAGCACATTGGCGCCTTATCGACATCAAAAAGTCTAGCAGACATCGATTATTTCGTCATAGCATGAAAGACGTAGATGATTTAAATTGTGTTCTGTGCGGTAAGCTTGAAGGCGATGAACATTTGTTCTGGGCATGCGCTCTAAAAAAAACAATCTGACACCGATTCACTACCCGGCTTTTTGGAAAAATCTGCTTCTCTTCAGTTTGACAAATTCTCCTTCCATCTGTCCCGCCGAACCTGAAAGGTCTGCAACTCTAATAAAACATATGCATTGCTTTGTGGTGCACACTAGGTTTAATTTGAGAAGCTTACTCCCAGAACATTTTTTATAATGTCCCTTTTGTCATCAATGGAGCCGCATCTATTGACACTTTCAATATATGTATAACACCAAAAAAAAACAATTCTTGACTTCCTCTACTGTCTTGCAGCGTAGAGGCTCACTAGTAAATCAGAGCCTGGGGATCTCTAAAAGCAAGCAAAGAAAAAATTGGTTTTTATTAAAAAAAAAAGCAACTTTTTATAATTATTATTACTATTACTATTACTATTATTATTATTATTATTATTTTAGTATGACCAATTTCTAGAAAAAAGCGAGAATATTTATCAGTTTTACTGTATAACATTATTGTACTTAATCCCAAGAACCGGATCCTGCAGCGCCTTTTTTAGGAGGAAAGCCTTTCTTTGTTGGGAAAGGAGGCTTTTGAGGTGCTGCCTTGTTGAAAAGCGAAAGAACATGGTTGGTTGGAAGAGAAATTCCACGGAACTCGGAACATCTGTTGTGCGTATGTGTTATCATTAAAGAAGTAAGCACGGCAGGAATGGATATATATATTAGCAAGTGAGTGAATTGATTAGTAAATGAATCATTTATATTACCACAGCCCAACTTCAAACAGAAAAAAAAATAAGAGAGAAAGAAATCTTACCTTCCACCCAAAGTAGAACCTCCCATAAATGGCACGTCAAATATAACATCAACAATCTTGTCGTGAGTACCAACAATAGTACCCTTTGTACCAAGTGGGATTGATCCTGTGTCCAATGCATATGCGACACGGTTACCAAGTTTGAAGAATTGCTCTCTCAATTTCATTTCAGCATCGGATGGTCTCATCAGAACCTCACGAGGGATACGCTTGATGAGAACCTTTTTGAAATCCAACTCTTCGTAATTTTTGTTGTAAGATGCTCCTAGTTCTTCAATAGCATTTAAATATGGCTAAAGGTAAAAACAAGGCAAACCAGAAAAAAAAATGCACATATGTATTAGAAAAAAGAAAATTTATACAGCTATCTAAACTTATTTAATATTACCTCTTCAAACTGTTCAGATGTCAAGGATGCTCTAGGCAACTCGTCGATGTGCTTGGAAGACAACCACTCTTTCATGGCTTGGAGCTCCTTGGAACCATTAGAAGTCCAGGTAAAGTCTTCTGCATTCAAGAAACCATGGCCTCTTTGGGATGCAATCAAGGAGATAAAATCTGGGAACCTCTGGAGATATTCTCCAATGAGCTCGACTGCCTTTTCGGAATACTCCCAAGAACCATTCGAATTCTTTCTGCTGAACCCAAGAACCTTTTGTTGCTTTGACTCAAACTTGAGGTTGAGACCGACATTGACGTTCTTGGACTTGTCGTTGACCAGAACAGATGACGTGATTTTTGAGAGTGCAAAGCCGCTCAACTTGAATCTCGAGCTCACTTGATGGGCAGACACATAGACGATGTGGGACTCTTGTTCTTTGAGAATCATGCTACCAAAGTTGGGCTCATAAGAGTCTCTGATGTTGGCTGGAACGATCAACTGGATATCAACCGAACCTTCGGGGTTGTGTCCAACCACGGTAGCCAGGGTGCCATAGTACATCCCACCAAGAAAGAACACCTTGCTGTTGACAGGAAACTCTTCGGCAAGCGGAAGTGCTGGACGCTCGATATAGCGCTGGTCCTCATTGGTCACCTTTACGACACTCATCTGAGCAGGAATCAACTCTTCTTGGGCAGGGTTCATGTATTCTTTGACAAGTGCGCCATCGTCTGTGCGCTTCATACCGCGCAAGAGACAGACATGCAAAGCAACATTGACTTCGCCAATCTCGAGACCAAACCGCTTTCTGCTCATGTATTCAACACCACCGATCCGTTTGCGCCAGCTCTCTTTTTCCTCTTCAGTGTGAAGGTGCTCCAAGATCTGCTTCTTTTTACCAGAGAATTTGACATAGTACTTTGCATCTGGACTAGAGACACCAACAACAACTGCCTCCCGTAAATAAGGATAATCTATATATAAAAAGTAATGATACAATACAATGACATACAATGTAATGTGGTGTAGTGCATTGTGATATAATAGAATTCAAATTAGTTGGGGATTTTGAGGCTGGTAATGGTGCACTAATTCACATAAACTAACTTACGGACGAATACACGCTTGTACAAAAGGAGTTTGGCAACTTCTTCAATATCAGTTCCCTTGTACCGGTTCTTCAGAGTGATGATCATACTCTCATTTCTACAAAAAAAAGCAATGGTTAGTGTTACATGTACTGAAAAAAACACACACACAAATGAATATTTATATACATACTATTTTGCCTAATTATTGCTATTATTTATATTACTTGTTTTCCTTCTCTCTCTTTTTTATTTTATTTTACCTGCTAGGTTGCTGGAACACAGTTACTCCATGGAACTTCAATTCACTTGTGTGAGGAATTGTTTGTAGAGATGGGAAACCAGCCAAGGCATCTTTACCCAAAAACACACCCTTTGGCAATGTCTTGTTTAGAGACAAACCATCAAGTCTTGGCAGGTGGTAGACTTCTTCGCGTGCGAGACAGTTGTGGATATCCGGGAACACGCCTGGAAGAGGGCTAGGGTAGACTCGGCCTTCTCCAACAGCTGCATCGCCTGTAGTTTTATTGTCGTACACGAACTTGAAGCTGTCTCCAACCTTTGACTTTGCGCGCTCACTTGCTGTCAGGCGATGTTCCCGTGCGTCCATGGCAGACAAAAGACGTTTCTCGTCAATAAATGGAATCTTTATCACGGCTTCCCAATCCTGTTTCTTTCCATTCATGTCCATATCAAAATCGCGAGGATAGAAATCAATGATAGGCGAGTTCGAATCACACATGAGTTCCTATTATTGTTTCAATAAAAACAAATAAGAGTTAGAGAACATGATTGATTTTATAGATTAGTTGATTATTATTATTATTATTATTTAAGATAGTAATAAAAAATAATATATATATCTATATATATTTATATGAAAGTGTAAGAGTTTGGCTTACTTGGAATGGTGCTGGCAAAAGTTTCTTACTCAAACTTGGCAAGACACCCATCAATTGTTCAAATGGCTTAAAGGGAACTCCGAGATCAAACTGCATATCTTGGTATTTTTCAAGGTTGAGCAAATCCGAAATTCTGGGTGCATAGTGATAAGGATAAAACCATCCCCAGGAAGCCACACCATTATAGTAGTAGTGGAGTACCCATTGGATACCAGTGATATAAGATCTAACGATATTATCCATGTCTTTTTCATCATCATAGTTGATGTTCATTTTTTCCTAACAAATACATAAAAAGAGAAAAAATAACGAATAAATACACATGCATATATGTATTTGAACCAGAAGAAGAAGATAAATTAAAGAAACTTACTTTATAGTATCTTGATTTCCACTCTTTAAATCCATTGTCATATGTTTCCTTTTCTTGTCGCTCCAAATCTTCTTCTGTCTTGGTGTCGGTCACTACATGAGCCCGGGCGTACTTGTTCAAAACACGGTCACGGGCCAAAATGGCTTCTTCGTCCAGTTCATCTTCACTTTCGTCGCTCTCGTCGCTCTCAAAGAATTCGATAAACAGCTCCTTGGATCCATCTTGATCATTGTACCTTGACACATAATTAAGGCCTAGATCACGAGCCACGTTTTGAATAAACTTCTTGTCCGACTCTTTGGTTTCTTCGGGGTCAAACCGAAGAGCTTCGGTTTTTCCGGGCTTGTGTGCCAACACAAATGCCTTGATATTTTTAAAGATTTCTTTTTGTCCAGAAGTAATGGCTAAAATATATATTGTAAAAAAAAAAGAATGAATATTCGATGGCGATGATAATTTTTTGTTTGATGTTGGTTTGTGTTATAATATTAATCATTCTACGTGTATCTCTTTCTCGACTCGTTATGTTTACTATCCATTTTGGAGAAATCATACTTACTCAGGGACTTCTTTTTCTTTCTTTTCTCGATATTGTGGAGAGCCTCGCGTTCAAACTGTCCATCTTCACCCTTGCCTGCAAGGTACAACCCATTGACGCACTCTGCATCGAAAGCCTCCTTCTCTACCACATTGGCCAGTTCGCTCAGGATCTTCTGAAGTTTCGACATGTCGACCCTTCCACAATCCTGGATGTAACCGTCACAGGTTGGTAGGATGCTCTTGTAAATATTAAACATAAGACCCAGGGCGCCTTCGTTGATGTGAAGACTTGGTAAATGGGGCAAGAAATCGTTTCCGATGAATAGGGCTATTAAGACAAAGTCATCGATAATACGCTCAAGATCGTACGGGAATGTCAATGATGTCTTGAGAGACTTGAACTCCATGTCAAGATACTCTCTTATAAGAGAATGGTGCATCAAGTAAAAGTTTGTGGTATCCAATCTAAATCACAGCATAATATCGGTACCCAATTAAATATATAAAGTTGTATATTTCAAGCATGATCCCTCACTCTTATTTTTTTTTACACTTTCTTTTATTATTATTATTTGAATCACTTACGTAGCTTTCTTTCGATTTTGTTTTCCAAAAACAACTTCTTCACGTAGTAGGGCAAAATGAGGGTCGTGGCTCACAAGACCAAGCATAATGAGATCAGCATCGAGGCCATAGAGACAATGTCTTGTATTTGGATTGTAATCAGGCTGGGCCTTTGAAAGACGAATGTATTCCATGATCTTGTGCTCTCCTTCTCCGGGTACCTCAGGACCTGAAAGGATGACTTCGACATTCTGCCAATTGGAGTCTTCTGATACTTTCTTATTAATAAAATAACGTAATTGAAGTGTCAACTTCTTCATAAAATCAGTGCCTATTTTATTTTATTTTACAGAAAAAATATATATTAGAGTTAGATATTCAATCCAGAGAAAAAATAGGAACGTGCGTGCGTGTGTGTGCATGTGCTTTAAAAAAAAATGTATTTTTTTTTTTTTTTTTACTAACCAGGTGTAATACAATTACTGTCAAATGGATCTTCTTCTGGAAGCTGTTCACCCTTTTCGATAGCACGCTGACGAGTGTCCTCTGCATCTTTTGCGGTTCTAAAACGTCTGGATCTCTGTTGATTCATCTTGGCTCTTGGAGCAACACCATCGATAGCAAGGAAGAAAACCTTGTTTGGCTTGATTTTTGCGAAAAGATGGTCAACATAATTGAAAATTCCCACCCAGATTTGTTCTTCGGTGATTCGGAAATGTGCACTTTCGTTGTTGTTGTGAGAGCAGTTGTGAATGATGCCATTCATGTCCAGGTACAAGTTGTCTAATATTTTGTATCATATAGTGTTCAGAAAGGACGATTGATTTTATATGTATGTATGTATATATATATATATCATATTGATTTGTTATTATTATTATGTTCGTCAAGCAGAAGAAAAGAAGTAAGAATACAAAGAAAAGGAAAGGAAGAAGAGGTGGTAATGATGACAGTATTGGCTATGATTGTGATTGTGATTGTGAACATGATATTGTGGATGAGGAGAATGACGAGGAATCTACGTTGCCATGCATCTTTTCTTTATTTCTTATTTTATTTCTTATTTTTAATTATAATTATTATTATTATTTTACCAAATTCTGGTATTCTGTTTTCAGCAATCAACTGCGAGGACATTGGATAACGTTCACTACATGACACGCATGTAAAGAAGATTTAATGAAACAAGTATTATATAAATCTAGCTTTTTGTGTGTATGTATATATATATTTGAGAGGAGGGGTTTTTTTTGTTTGACAGAATTATGTTATGCTTTTATTTGCCACTGAAGATTCCTTTCCTTTATTCCCCTTTCTTTCTTTCTTTTTTTTCTGATTGTTTCCTTCTTTTATGATTATTACCTTATCCATCGAAAAAACTTTGGGATTCCCATCTTATTAAAAGAGTGGTATAATTATGGTATTACTGTTGTTGTTGTTGTTGTTGTTGTTAATATTAGCAATAGTAAGAAAAAGTAGTAGAGGTTATAGTAATATTCACGGTAACAATAATAACAATAATAGTATAAATATTAGTATTAGTATTATTAACGTTAAAATATTAATATTATTTTTTGGCGTTTTAAAAAAAAATATAATAAAATATAATAAAATGAAAAGGGAACAAAGGCTTTAAGTTTTTTGAAATACTACGCTATTTAAATGACGTGTTCAGACAAGACTAAAGACCGTAAATCTGTCACTCACTTTACAATCATTTTATTTATTGTTTTAATGTCCGATTCCAAAAACACTGGTTGAGAGTGATGATGATTGGATAAAAATTGCTTTAACGAATATATATATATATATAAGTGGATGGGTGAAACTTTAGTAAGGTGTCTATTGCATTCAAGGAACAAGCAACAAAATCGGACCATCCATCATCAAGTTTGTCCATCTTGCTTATCAGTTAGGATTTCGACATGTCCAAACCCAAGAAATATGTATACCCCAACTGTTAGCAACTCCAAGATATTATATATATATATATATAGATATAGACATTACAGAGACTGAAGATTCAAACGGCTGGTCGTTTAGGTGCTAACAAACTTTTCGTTCTTTCTTACTTTAATGGTCGTTTCATTGGTTTATCTATGATGCATGCACTTATCATGGTTCTCCGAAAGACTGCATAGTAATGAATCAATAGAGCTAAATCCAAGTTCAGTTTCACTAGTTATATCATGGATAGGAGTGGGTTGGAGCCAATTCACTCATCAGTTTAATGATTTCCCTTACCAGATTGGCTTTATGGGATTCTAAATAAACGTAGAAAAAGGTTGCATAATACCTTTTTTTTTTCATGACTGGTATTTTCTCTAAAGAACTTTGGGCTATAATAAGGACAGTTTAGATTATGGTCATAGGCAAACAAGCCTTTTGTTTTTGAAAGACCAAACCTGTCTATGCTATTGTGGATAACAGAATTAGATATTTAGTTATTGGTTGATTGAAAAAATGGTGATTCCAATAGGGATATTGGAAAATAGCTATAGCACTTTTTTTAAGAAAAAAAAATATGACAGAAAACCTGCAAAAGAGTGAAATATTTTTGGTTCAAAATAAAGAATAAATCAACAGACAAAATAGCCGGAATTTTTGAACTATTATACGTCAAAATCAAATAATAGCAAATCATACTTTAAACACTCTATGAATAATAATAATAATAATAATATTAACAAAAATAATTTCTAAAATGTACACGACAATTATCTTCTATATATACATATGCATAATTATAAGCTTTCATTAACAGAAGCAGAAGCAGAAACGCTTGCCATGGCCTGCATCGTTTGAATCACTGCTTTTACTGTTGGCAGGTACCACCTTGCCCGTGTCTTTTTTCCTTCTATTCCGACCTTGATCGAGAACACATCTTGGCTTGGGATAGACTCGGCTTTACTCATTGTCTTGAACATATCTTCGTCTGTCCGGTCGTCACCACAGCTCAGACAGAAATCAAACCCGCCGTCCTCCTGCTGTTGCTGGACCAGCAACCGGTTTACTACTTCTCCCTTGTTGACTGATATCGGACGGACCTCTAGGTTTTTCTTACCCACCAGGATTTCCACAGGCATCTTGGAAAGAATGGCTCCCTCGAGATGGTTCTGGCACTCTTTTGCCTGGAAGGCTCCATAATCCGGATCGGCCAGGCGATAATGCCAGGTGATTGCGCACCGTTTGTGTTCAATGAAACTTCCGGTGGTTCGTTCGGTATAGTAAGTAAAGATCTCGAGAACATCGTGTTTCCAGTTCATGTCACAGTGCTCGGCCAGGTTGATCCACTTGGATGTGTGAGGGTACTTTATAAAACTTCCGTGCTCGGCGCTCAAGCCAAGGCCAGGAAGATGTCCAAGCCAGTTGTCCAGTCCGGCTTCATCTCTTCCGGATATAATCCAAACCTCATTCTTTGCATCATTGCAGAGGGTTTCAAGAGCTCGAAGCATGTCTGGAGGTGGCACAGCTGCACCAGGAGTTTTGCAAATAGGTGTTATGGTTCCCTTTTTTTTAAAAATATATATATAAAAAGTTAAAGTAAAATAAGGTATATATGTGTGTGTTTTTCTTACATCGTAATCAAAGCACAAAAGACGCTTGTTGGCTTTCTTGTAACTAGCAAGTAAAGATTCGTTGTTGAGAAGAGGCGTGTAATTATTCATATCCGACAGGGCCATTGTGTAATTCAAACTCTTGACAAAAGAGTGGGCCCAAAATGAAGCCGTATTAGACTTGACTTGACGCAGGAGTTGCTATAGTATGAAATAAAAGATAAAAGGTTAGTATACTTTGGTCATTATCGTTATTCTCAATATATATAATGATAAGTTTACCATGTGTCTAGTTGCTTTTTCTTCTTCAGACATAACAAGAGCATCGTTGATAGCCTTTGCAACGCCCGCATAGTCCCATGGATTGACGAGTAAAGCAGATCCCATGGATCCTGCAGTACCTGCCAGCTCTGAGAGGATCAAAGGACCGTGATTCTCCTCTTGACACATCACATACTCCAAACTCGTGGTGTTCATGCCATCTCGAACGGCCGTTAGGACTGCGGCGTCTGCTATAGATAAGAGGGCATAGTACTCATCGGGTTGGATGTGGTGGTGATAATGGTGGACTGGTGTAAACTCAAGTGAGCCAAATGTGCCGTTAATATGTGCTGCAGCCTCTGAAACCTTGTGTTCAAGTTTAGCCGACTCTGCCGTTGTAGAATCTGTCACTTGAATCAGGACAACCTAAATAGTGAGTGTGAGTAAAGGACAGAAGAATATGGATTTTCTTGTATTCTTATCACTACCACTGTTACATAACCCATATTTCTTATTATCTTGCCTTGTTTCTCCATTCTGGATAATTTGTCAAGAATTTTTCAAACGCAGCTAATTTTTGAAGCACTTCTTTGACCAGATCCAGCTTGTCTCTTCCTACCAGAATTTTCTTTCCGGTATACATTTCTGCAATGGCCTTGATCTTCGGAAGCACACCCGGGGAGGACCTCTGGGCATCGATTGATTCAGCGTCAATACCAATTGGGAAGGTACCGACATAACAAAAGTGGCCGTCGCAATCAACACCATCCGGGGTGGATTCATAGCCAAGTACGCGGGTGCAGGTTGAAATGAAATGACGGGCATTTGCATAGGTCTAATGACAACAACAACGAAAAGGTAGTGCCACCCAAATACAGTTACAAAGATTACTCTCATTATTATTAAGCGCTCTATATATATATATATATATACTTTACCTGGAATCCGACAAGATTGGCACCCATCATACCTTTGAGGATTTCTTGTCTCTCTAAAATTGACCAAACAAAAAAAAATAAGAAGATGAGAATATATTGTCTTGCTAAATGGTGTCTTACTTGGAAGGCATCGAAAAATCTCTGAACTGGGGAATGATGCGTGGACAAATAAGCCAATCCTTGCGTTTGGTAGCTTGTTTCGAATCATCATAGGTACCAACAAGAGATGGTAGTCATGAACCCATACTAAAGAATAAGAAGATTTATCTTTCACTTTTCCATTTCCTTTTCAAAGTAGTACACACACACACTTGCATATTTGCACAACTTACTCGTGTCTCCTTCTGTGTATTGTTCTACAAGCATGTCTGCATATGCCTGATTCACTTTACAGTATGCATCCCATTGTTGACGTTCCAGACGACCATCGGTAGCATCGTTCCAGATTATGTAATTAAATAGAGGCCATAGCACTTTATGTACAGGCATATTTTTTAATGTGTGTTTTGTGCTTAATTAACCAAATTAAACCATGACTTACTTGTCTTGCAGTAACCGTCATAATGCCCGGCGGCTGATTCGCTGTCTAACAGTAGTGGGATACAATTGTGGTCTTCTAGGAGTTGGTTGACAAGTCGGTCTTTTTCTTGGCCACACAGCCATGGTGGTGACACTGTGTCTTTGAGACCAGCTTCTGGAGAAATGTGTATCTTGCCTGCCCCACCAATAACCAAGGTTCTCCACTGGTCGCCATTCAATGACCTAATCCCGGCGTGCATTGCCGAATGGCCTCTTCTGGGCAAGAATGACCATTTCTCTTCAGACCCTTGGTAAGTGATTTCAAACGGTAGTTGGTGGCAGACATGAATAATGCGTTTTTGTGGCGACTGAGAGTCAATGGGCAGAAGCTGCAGGAATTGACTTGGGTTCATGACAAAGACAGAGAACTAAAAACTAAGACGCAGAAGACAAAGAGGAAAAAGGAAAACATGCAAAACTCAGATATCTCCTCCAACCCCTTCCCTTTTTCCAAAATAATAATAATATAAAAACGTAAAAAAAAAATGAGAGAGAGAGAGAAAACGTGGTTTTAATTTCATTATAATTTTATTTATTAAACATAGCAAGACGTAACAAAACGTAACAAAGCGTAATAAAGCGTAACGTAATATGTAATATAATGTATAGAAAAGAAAGAAAGAAAGATGTCGATCCCGTATCTGTCCCTAAGCCGCAGTCTGTCAGGCATTGGGTCTATATAGAGGCCGTTTTATGTTTGATCTTGGTTCCGTGTATAAACTACCCCTCGGCTGGCAAGACAAGAGCATCTTTGAGCAAATATCTTTGGCCGGGGAACCGAATATATATATATATATAAATATAATTTATATGTATACATGAAAATCATTAAAAAACTATTATCCCAAATGTATTCAACCCGTGTACACCCGATATCCGCAAAATCATTCATATTCATTCATCCAAGCTTCTTTTTTTTTTTCACAGCAGGCAAGCCAAGCCATCCACAGGAACCACGCACTCCTCTTAATGTGTAAAACGTCGTCCACTCCTTTTTCATCTCTTTTTTATTTTATTTTTCTTTCATTATTACTAATACTCTAATTGATTATACTATCAAGCTAAATAGCTAAAAAAAAAAATGTAGAATAAGAGAGTCAGGCCTTTTTTTTCATTATTATTATTAAAATTCATTCATTCATTCATTTTCTCTCTCTCTCTTTAAAGCATGTAATTATTACTATATATGTATACATTTTTAGGCCCAAATCAATAGACTTACCCGTTACATGAATACGTAGATTGATTAGAGATATTTGTTAAAGGGTGAGATAAAATAAAATAAAATAAAATAAAATAAAATAAAGAACAAAATAAAAACCATCACTTACGACTTTTCTTTTTTGTATTGCGTATTGCGTATCAGAGTGGCTTGTTGGTAGTGACGTTTGCTCTCTGTGACAGTGACAGTTTTTGTGTTCAAAGAAAGAGAACAAACGTCTTTCTTTGGTGCCCAACAGGTATCCAAAGTATTTATTACCCATCATTTGTGAAACTCAAATCTATCATTAATTGCTTCCCATTTATTTATTTATTTCTTTTTTTTTCTTGTTCGACTTTTTACGCCAAAAGAAAAAAAAAAAGAATCATTTTGATAAAGGGCAATTTTTGAAACAAGGGAAGGTTTTGGTAGAAGAAAGAAAAGATCTAATGAACCCAATTACTTGGTTCCTGTTGGCCTACAAAATGCTTGTCATCCTAGGACCTTAATTTCAATTAATTGACTCTAATTTCTTATTTATAAACAAAACACATAACGAACAAAAGAAAAGAAGTAATCCTATTATTTGAAATCTAACAAAGAATGTATTTTGATTTTTATTCAAAATCTTCCTACATACTACATTAATGATATTTTATAATATTAGCAATGTAAATTGCGCCCTCTCTCTCTTTTTTTTTTTTACTATGAATACATTTTGTTTCAATTTTTAATTGATAGCTGTGTTCAGAAAGACAGAAAAATCAATCTCAACTACAAGTGTTTCAATTCTATTAACAAATCTAAACTAAATCCATGTGTATATCTATATCTATGCTTCTTGATTATTGATTTTGAATTATATATATTTTGGTTGCAAATCAGAAATAGCATATCCTTCCCACCCAGTCAGTCAGTCACTTGGTGCAGGTAGCCACTCATTTGTGTGGCATTTCTTTTTTTTAAAAAAAAAATTAATTTATTTATTTATTTATTTATTTTTAAAGCCAATATAAATATATATAAATATATATATATAAATTAAGAATAAAAAATGGAAATGCTTCACAATAATGTACTTGATCACATCAAAGATCGATTTATAAGATGCTGCAATTGATCAAGTCTATACACCCAATGAATCGTTTGTGGTTTTTGGTGCCTCCCAGCCAAAACAGACTATCACCAGTTCTTAGAGTTACTTGTCCAAGACGCCTGGTTTCGTCGTCTGCTGGTCAAGATAACAATTTGTCTCTTTGGGTATCCCAACCGCCAAACACAAAGCTGTCTGGTGCCGAGAGCCGAAAACTCTATCGCACGTTTTTGAGGGCAGGATCAAAAGCCGTGGTTGGGACTAACCGACAAAGAAAGCAAATCTGGCAATGGACACGTACAAAATTCGATAAAAATTTGACCGAAACCGATCCAGAAAAGCTTGGCGATCTTTGGATAAGATGTAAGGGACAAGAAAAGAAAAGAAAAGAAAATAAAATAAAATAAAATAAAACAAAAGAGATGAATTGATTTAAATATAGTTTATGATTTGCCTTTACGTATCGTGAATACTTTAAATCTAACCAAGTAATATATCAAATTCCCATCATCATTATAGCTCAAAACACATTAGCCTTTCTCAAGATTGCCTCTCAACGTAAAGGGCTGGAACACAAGATTGTTCGTAATCTGTGTGATTTTCAATTTTACCAAAATCGCTTTAATGAACGGTAAGAGAGTGTGGGTTATTTAAGGTGTGCTAATGTCAAGAACGATAAGAGAATATCCAAAATAAATAAATAAATAAATAAATAGAAAGAAAAGGAATGAAGATGAGGTTCAAACGTAACAGTGCATGATAAGCAATCAGACAGATAAATAGACCTATAGATCTATAGTGCTTTCTTTCAGTTACGGCTCGTTTTTATTTTGTATTTTTACTTTATATTATTGTAGACCAAATATTCTTCGAAGAAATATACCAAGTGATATAAGCTATATGCATGCCCACTGTATGGATGATTTAGACCTTGTCATTGAGATGCTCAATCAGGAATTGGATCTATGTCTATAAGATAAATAGATATTCATTTTAGTCTGTTGCTTTTGTTTTAATATAATTGAAACAGTTGAAACAACTAAAAACAATATATCCTATACTGATTATAATTCGATTAGTAATTATAGTAGTAACATGGACATGCTATTGTTCTTCTAGTTAAAAAGGTCAAGATCGAGTCATTATTTGAACAATAAATATATATATATTAAAAGTATTCTATTGATCCAAAGCAAAAACTTCAATTGTCCTTCCACCTGAATCTAGACCCAAGTATGGTTTACTACAGAACCAATTGAATTCAATACTGCTGATGATAATTAGAGCTTTCACTCTTTTATAAAACACAAACAAAAGCTTGTATGCACATACCTTTGCTCCAATGTGCCCACAATATGCACCAACGTACATCAACCCTCACGCTCGTTCTTCCACACCCAATCTCAATCTCACTATAAATTAAAAACATAGAATTCTTGCTCTTCTTACCCACCTATTTGGGAATGCCCTATAATAGAATATACCAAAAGTGAGCACAAGTTCGTTTGTAATATACAATTAGAGGGCTACATAAACCTTGGTCGAATTGTAATCTCTAAGATTCAAAATCTTGATTACTAACAAAGTGTAAGTGTACTGTCATTATAGAGCCCTTTTTGACACTTGCATCTGACGCCATTCCTCTTAAAGATGGCACCCCTTCCTCCCCCCTTCTCTGCCTCCCCTTCTTCTTTATCTTCTTCTTCCTCGTTCTCCTTTACATTCTTTTTTTTTTATCTTTTGCTTAAAAGATAATTCAAAAGCCAAAATCATATTGAAGGTTAAGAAACATTACAATTATAAAACAATTAAAACGAAAACAAAAAAAGAAGTATCAATATTGGTTTGTAGGTTCATTGGAATAGAATATGTACATACACAAATATATATATATATATGCATTTTAGTTCCATCTGTTATAAATATATAAGAAAACAAGGGGGGGGTTCAGATGGGTGGCAATTTTATATTATTTATATTTTTGTAAATTTTGTAAATCTTTACAGACATACATATACATATATATTATGAAATAAACAGAATACTGAATGCCTTTGACTTTTGAGGATTGGGATTGGTTAAACAGCAAACAGCAAACGGCACAAATATTGATAAATAATAGATAGACATTCTCATCAGAATTTGCTTTTGTTTTTTTTTCTTATTTGATTCAATCTTAATGTATGTATGGCATTTAGTTTTTTATAATTTTAGCAGAGAAACTATAAACCCGGCCAAATTCAAGGCATCATTTCGAACAATAATAGTGCTAATATATGTGTACAATGACGATTAGTATGATTGAATTACCAAGACTGACAGGGACACGTTATTGCTTTTTTTGTTTTTTTTTCACATCTACATCACTACTTACATTTCCACTTGCGCTTATACGCACACTTACGCACTAATTTACACATTCACGCATGCATATATGCACAAACACAATCTACTCTTACACCTCAATGCCATACAAGAAGAAGAAGAAGACTTCTTGATAGACAATAGCCCAAATACTCTTACAATTGATCCGAATTTATTCTGTACTCATATAATTGACCAGGCACAAAGATCTGTTCCTATCAACAATTGAATACCGTCTTCTTTTCTAAATCTTGCTCGCTTTACTTGATTATTTGGCTGTTTATAATATGCAGATAAAGATATTTCTAAATAAGGATACAATTATGCCTTTGATAGATCAAAGAAGAAAGAAAGAGAAAAGGGGGCTTAAGTCGGCAAATATGTAGAATGTGCCGTGATATAGACCAAAAATAGACTACAAGAGGGGGTGGGGTGTTCAACTGAAAAAAAAAAAAAAGATCAGTGTCATCTGTAGTAGAAAAAAAAATACTTTGGGGTAAATGTGTTTAAACGGTAAATAATTGACTTTACTGTACATTAGCCAAGCCATTAGATTAATGTATTCTTAGACTCTAATTTTTTTTTGAATCTTATATATAAAGGGGGTGGGTTAGTCAATTGTCGAGGTCCTCAATTACACAACCAATCCTTTCTTTTACTTATTTATTATAAGCATCTTCATTATCATTATTATTATCATCATCATCATCAACAACAAACAACAAACAACAAATTCATCATGAAGTTCTCTGCTGTCCTCGTCATCGTTACATTCTTCTCTGCCGTTGCCTTTGCTGCTCCTCGTCGTTCTTCCCAGGATGCCATTGGAATCGGAAATGAGGGTCGCGTCAGTGGATTGGTAAGATCACAGCTTACATCTATCCAAGGCCCACAAAAGCAAGAACTAATGTCTATATGTTATAGGGAAACAACCTCTTCAAGGGTGGATTCGCCAGTGATAACTCACAGAAGAACACTGTTAATCAGAGAAACTAGGTCGCTTTCTTAGTCTCCAGATAGTCAAGAAGGTTATGTTATTCATAACTTTGTTCACTCGCAAATGTTAATTTTTGTTCTAAGCAGTAGCAGTAGCAGCAGCAGTATCCCCTCCCTTCCCTTCCCCTCTTTCTTTATCTCCTGTAAGCCCACGTCTTTCTCCCCGCCACCTATTCAGTGCTTTAATGTCTTTATCTTATTTTCAGACCTTGTTTAATAAATTACATTTGTGTTTGCAATCATAATACCAGTTATATATTTTATGCATATGCATTAACATTCCAGTCTAAGATTATTGTATGTATATAGTTTTTTTTGTAAATCTCTATAGATCAAAAAAAAAAGAAGTTTGTATTGAGCTAGACAAATGTACTGATAAAATGTATAGTTTATTTATTTATTTATCTTTTAATTGGGTGATAAAGTAAAGTAAAAAGAAGTAGAATAAGATGAATTGAAAGAAATTAGGAATTAGAAAGGAAAGAAAGAAAGAAAGAAAAAAATACATGGTCTTGGATACTAATACTTTGTCTCACTGAAGAGGTAGGGCAATATAGTTACACATGCGGTATAAAGTACAGTGAATATTCTAATAAAACTATAGTGTGCATTTGCCCACCCGGCGCGCTGGAATTCGCAGTAGATTGAATAGAATGCGACTACAAAAAAGTGATACACAAGTACAGATGGTCGCTGGATAAGGCCTGAAAGCAAACCCACCGGCCCATTGACACACTCTCCACCCAATTGGAAATAGCGGAAACACCCTCTTTGTAATACAGCCAAGTCAGCATCTAAATAATATACAAAATATTTGAGATAAAATTAGGGTTTGTAAATTATATTTAAATTTTACCTTCACCAGCAGCGAATAGTCTATACAATGCCATCGCCAGTACATTGATGGCGGTACAGTAACTCTTTCGTTTCCAGTGGAATGATTTCATAGTCTTTGTCACCAGCTCACTATCAGTAAATGACGGCAAATTCTCTACGGACAGCAGGTCGCTAAGAAGCACAATATCGTTCAATGCCACAGTCATACCACCTTTACAAAAGATCAAATCAAATCAAATAAACATATTAGTGTGACAAATAATAATAATAATATATATATATATATATATATATAAAAGGATGAGAATGAGTGTTTTTCTTTCATATTCATTCATTCATTCATTCATTCATTTGGTCTTGACTAATTAACCAAATATATTTATATATTTTAAATATATCATATACGCACCACCAGTCAAAGGATGGCGCATGTTCATAGCATCTCCCAGTAAAACCATTCCTTTGGTGTTGTTAATTGAGGGAGGAAGGAATCCATTGGGCATTGACCGAAGGCGTTCAGTTTCAAGTGATTCCAAAAATTTACCCTTTTGTTTTTGAATAAATATAATTTTATTTTTATTTTTATTTTTATTTTTATTTATGGGTGTGTATATATATATATATATGCGTGTGTGTATATATGTATGTATGTATTAACAATTTTATAATTATTACCAGTATTAAAAGCTCTATATTCTATTGTAACTTACCCTGATAGACTCGGGTATTTCTGGTGCAACTGTTTCTTGAAGGTATTTTTTGAGTTGGCCAGTAGACGCAGATGGTAATTGACCGGGAATATCGACCAATACACGGGTATCATGTTCAGAGATCTGGTACATCAATACTGGTGACGGATGAGCCAGAATAACATGGCCGTGTTCTGGTAAAGGAAGAACAAGATCCTTTAATTCAAATCTATACACATAATAATAATAATAATAATAATAATAATAAAATAGACGACACGTATTTAGTCAAAGCATTTTTCTTGATCTTGATCTTGGTTTCTATGCTTATCTTTTTCTCTCTCTCTCTCTCTCTCTCTCTTTGTACATATATTTAAAGGTTTAATATTTACCCAACAAAATTGGACTTTACGTCTGGAGTTTTGACGGTTACTTGTTTACGGAATTTTGAAAACAAGCCGTCGGCCACAATAGTCAGAGGAGCATGAAACTGTTGATTATCACAAGAATATTCATTTATTAATAATGAATTTTATCTATCTATATATTTTACCTGTAATACTTGTCCGTCCTTTGATTGGGCCTTTACACCGATTATTCTCTCTTCTCTTTCCTCGTTGTCGCCTTTATCTTCCTGGCCGTCTTCTTTATGGTTATACTTGTCTTTCAGCATCTCAACCACAGTCAACTCTCTAACCGTAACACTATTTAAACAAGACAGAAGAAATATACATAAATCAGTCAATAGAATCGTATCATATCCATAATTTTCTTTAAATATATATATATATATATCCAACTCTTTCTATCATTATCTTTTTTTTTTTTACTTTGGTGTTTGTTTTGCGGCATTTCTCAATTTTGTAATAAATCTACCATGGTGAAACGACTTTCCAACTGCCTTTTCGCCAGTAAATTTGTTGACAGGGTACGGAATCTCGACCAACTTGTTCTGGTAGAACACACCGTAACCATGGCATGGAATACCATCAATTCCCTCGATACAATCTTTTAATAATAATGATTTTATATATATATAAAATGGATAAGAAATTATTATTAATACTGAAAACACTTTACAAGTTTCTTTATTTTATTTTCTTTTTGCGCCTCCCACATCACCAAAGTATATATTAAAAATTAAATTAAATTTAGGTTTTCTTTTTTTCTTTTTTTACCTTGTAAATCAAGATTATGAAGTGCATTCACTCCTCCGGGTTGAAGTAATTCTCCAACAATACGATCAGGTTCAGTCAAATCGCGCTCCAAAAGAAGTACCTGGCGGCCATCTCTTCCAAAGGCTCTTGCAGCAGCACATCCGATGATGCCTGCTCCAACAATGATTAAATCGTATTCGAGAATTGGCAAGGTTGACATTCTGATTCAAGTTAGAGAATAAATTACAATATTATAAAATTATAAAATTATAAAATTAAAAAAATTAAAAAAATTAAAATAAAAAATTTAGAAATTAAAGACAATTAGGTGATTCAAAATCAACAAGGTAAAAAGAGAAAGAAGGAAAAGAAAGAATAAGAAAGAAAGAAAGAAAGAAAGGGAGAGAAGAAGAAAAAAAAGAGAAAGAAGACTAATAACCAGAATTGTGATTGAGATGAATGTCAAGAAGTGTTTCGTTGTTTCCAGAGTTGTCTGTCACGTGAAACGGCCATTGAATCCAGGGACAGACATGGCATCAATCACATGAAGTTCTTTCGCTATCGAGTATAACAAGATAATAGTGTGTAACTTGATGTCTTCTGTTTGTTGCCAAGTTACCAATATAAATAAATAAACAAGTAAATTAATGAATAAGTGAATGAATGAATGAATGAGTGTGTGAGTGAATAAAAGAAGCATACATATAGACGTACATGTACATTTACACATATACATATACATATACATATACATATACATGTTCTTAAAGATACTACTCCCAAAATCTAGGATTATCCTTTTTATTACTTTACTTTCTTGATTTTTTTGTTCTATTGTATCATCTTATAAATGGATTAAAGGTAGGAGTTTCGATTAATGATGGAAAATAAAGAAGTGGTTTATTTTACTGGAAGAATGTTTTTCCATTTAAAAGAATTAGTGGACTGTGCATCAAAGTGTAACCACAAAGAAGAAATAGAAAAATAGCGTCGTGGGTATGCTTGGTTATTAGAAATATATGCATTACATAACCCTATAAACATATGTATCTTTTATCCTGCCCATAATAAGATTATACATTTATATATCTTGTAAGAGTAATATTTATTGATCAAACCAATTGATTTAATAATAGTCAATAAATTGAAACAGACTCCTTGGTTCAATATTTGGTTCTTGTTTTGTTTTTTTTTTCTATTCTTTGATTTCAAGTATATGCATATATAGCCGTTTCAAAATCTTCAAATCTTGTAATATTTTTAACAAAGTCAAATACTCTTAAATATTAGCATTAATATCATGATCGTTATTTTATCATTTAGTATCACACTGTTCAAACCACACAATTTCCTTGGCATTAATCTGCTTAGTTCAGGAGAACAAAATGAATGAAACAAGCAGAGATATGGTATTTCTTTTTTTTTTAAAAAAAAATTCTCATATAGACAATAGTTGTCTTTTTAAAAAAAAAATGACGTTTTTCACCACTCCTTGAACAAAAGCTCAGCAATGCAAATTTTATTGTCCAACCTAAGCCTTGAGTACTACTTTTAATGGTGTATTTAATCAGATCAACACCATTCATTAAACAGACATGTAGCATTTCAAAGACATACCATAAAGTTAATTTTTTCAAAGATGCTTGACAGTGAGCGTTCTATAGCGCACAGTTTGAATTCGTTTAATATAAGCTTTTCAAACCCCCTAAATCAACTTCTTTCAATAAAACTTGTTTGGCAGGCATCATATCTGCAAAACTCGAGTGCGAGATGTTTCTGTCAATGCCCGTTATCTTGTTGCCCGCAAATTTCTTGCAAGCTAAACTAGCCTATTGCCTTTTTCTTTTCTTTAGTTCTTACCTGTCGCATATCAAGTGGATCTTTATGCGGGCAAGCAGCTTGAGTGTAAACCGCCCTTTTTCAAGTGTTGCACAGGTCTGAGGGGTAAAGTTTTTCTTTTTCTTTTTCATTTCGCTTTGGCTACACCAGATCGCAAAATTTATTAAGTTTGATGAACTCTTAAAACAGAGGTGGGTTTCTTTTGAGCACAAATTCAAGTAGTTCTAAAGAAAGATCAAAGCCAAGCATGAGTTGAAACGCGCTCGAGACTTGCTGGCACTCTTAATCAAATTGAATAACAAATTATTATCTTCAACCAAGCTAAAACATTTCTTTTGTTGATTATAGCACTTTTAGGATGAGCAATCTCTTTTACATTTTCTGTGTTTGTTTGTTTTTAGGCAGATCTGTGCTCAAAAGAGCTGATGAGCCTCTATTGCTGTGCAACAAGAGGATAGCGTGGGTTTTGGTTTTCGATTTGGATTTGGATTTATTATATGATGTTTTGGAGAGTTTTGTATTATTTAATATGAAAGATGGTGGGCGAAGACATATCAGATCGTTCCGTATTGACTGACTCTTCACACTATCTTTCACCGACCAAAATGTGATACGTGCGAAAGAGCCATGAAGGGATGATATAGGAATAAAGGTAAAAAATAAAAAAATAAAAAAAAAGACTTTAGGGCTAGAGCACAACAAGTATAAATCTTTTGATCTATCAAATTTAACTGTCCACGAAATACAGCTTTCCACACTTTGTTCCATGAGTATCAAGATTCCTTTGGATAATCGTAATAGCAATAATAGAGTGAGCCTGGGAACTTTCGACATCCATGTCTATTTAGTTAGCAAAAAAAAAAGTAGAAAAATAGGTTATGGACAAGACGAGAAATTATAAATATCAGTATTAGTATTTGTTTTTAGAGAGAATAAGTATAAAAGTATACAAATGACTTGCCTGCATAGGCTTTATCGCGATTGTCAGTGCCCCGACGAACAACTTCATAGACATCTTCAAATGAGCCAACATAAACATGCAGTAAACGCTTTATGTAGACACCATTTGCCTTGTCCTCCTGTATCTCTAGACCATCATTTGTAACTAATAGAGGATATATACATAGATTTGTGAGCGTGTCAAAACTATCTATTATCAACTTCTCACAACTATAAACCACAAATATACATATTATTTGAATACACTTACGGTCTAACAAATCGCACACTTTCTCCATGTAAATCCCCGTGTGTGAAACCTTTATAGTAAATTCAAGGTTGCTTGGAGCACGAAAAATACTGTCAAAAATATGTTCGACAATACAGGTAAAAATATTCTCTCTATTTTCATTGTCTATGCCAATGCCCTTATAAGTAGTTATGTATATAGACACGTATAAGCAACTTTTGAAGTATAAAATTATTTTTCTTTACCATCATTGTGAATGTTTTTCCAAAGCCTCTTTGTCCGTAAGCAAACACTGTACCGGTAGAACCCGCAAAGACATCTTTGTTTCTCATTTTATATGTAGAAAAAATAATAAATATATGGCTGTATCGGTAACATACTCTTTTGTTCGTTTGGTTGGTTGCTAAACTCAAGCATTTCACACACTAACTAACTAACTTACCATCAACAATACCTTGAATAAAATAGTCAAGTTGTTCTTTATGAGGAGTATTCATGTTAAATGCCTTGTCAAATTCATACGTTGCCTGGGCTTCTTTTCCCTAAAGAAATACAGATAAACACACACGATCGATATTACTGATTCTCTCTCTTGGTTTGTTTCTGACATTAGCGTTTCGAAATCTTGTCTTACCTTCATTTGGAGGACCGTTCCTTCGTCATCAATGATAGGAACACCATCCTCATTGATTTCGATGGAGTTCTTAGGTCGGAATCGACAGACAATCTTGATGTTTCTACCAGACATTGCGAAACAAACTTAGTAGCAGGTCAGTGCAGTGGAGAGATGTAAATGTTGCGCTGGTCTTGGCTTTAAGCAGCTGAAAAATAAAGGGAGAAAGGGAAAGGCAGAAATATTGATAGATAGCAAGAAGAAGAGAGAAAATGAAAATAAAGAAATAAGAAAATGGGACCTTTTTGGGGATCCTGCCTTGCAGCCAGATATATATATACATGAGAGAAAATAGACAGAAGGCTTAGATAATACGTATAATACAAAAGATTCGCTCAGTGCTGATAAATATTGACCTTAATACAAGAACTTTTATAGATATAAATAATTTACGCCTCACCGTAGTTTGTTATTTATTTTTTTGGCTATTGCAGATCTGTTTCAGAAAAAAAAAACTTGGACAATTATCACTCCTATCTTATTGTATAGTTTTGAATATTATCTATGATATTTTTGTGCTCTCCCGTTAAGAATCGATATATTACTTTGGATTGGGATGAATAAAAGGGAGATATGTCAAGCGAAAAGGTCAAGGTTTGGTTAATCATGATAAGCTAAACTTCTGTAGCTAGGTATCTATAGAGATGTATTAGTAAACTATCAAGGTAATAAATAAAGGGGAATATTCTACAAACATCATAGGTGTATTGCAAGACTGCAAGACCAGTCCATTGACCTCATCAATGAGACTCAAAGAGTTGTGGAAGGGTTTTTATATCTCGCACTTTACTGGTATGGGCCTATTGTCTAGACCCAGGTACTCCTCTTGGTAAAAACTACTTTAATAGTGAAAATAAAAAAAAAAGTGCTTTTCAGCTTTTGCATAATTTTCTTTAATGAATAAAGACAAGTGATCATACTGGATTAATTGACTTTTTAGGAGCAAATTTGCTACACAAAAGAAAGGATGAGTATCTGCCGGACTACTCAATATTGTTTTATGTAACATATTGTTCCTTAAGATTGGCGCCTTTAACATCACACTCCATATTTGAATACTCTTTTTTTTACACGGCATATACAGTGTATGTACTCTATATGTATATGTATATGTATATCTGTAAGTGTATATTTATTATATATGTACATATAGCAGTTGTTCGTACACACTGTTTAAGCCAACAACCTCTTTAGTATTAATTTGTTTAATTCAGGAGAACAAAAATAAATAAATGAATGAATGAATACAAGCAAGAAATTTAGTATTTTTCGTTAATACTAAATTCCCGACTACTTTTCCTTTATTTTTCTTTTTTATAATATAATATCAATTGTATATATTATATTCATTTTATCCTTTTACCTATCTTTTTCTTTTATTTTTTATCTTATAAAAAAAACTTATTTAACAACTATCATTATAATTATAATTATCGATATCATTACTATCATCATCTGTTGTCAAGGAGACCTAAAGAAAAAGAAAAAGAAAAAAGGTAAAAATAAACTTATAATACTTGTTATATACACAAAACAATAGGATAATAAAAATAAAAAATGGACTCTTTCCTTTTGGGTTGGGTTTAAGCCAATCATCAACTTCTGATGACATACGCGTGACTATCGGGATTCTTGGTTTCCTGTCTCTCACTCTCACTCTCACTCTCTTTGAAGTTCTGTCTATATATATATATATATATATTCTGCTTGAATTTCTATAATAAAATAACTGTTTCTTTTATATATATTTTATATAATTATCTATTAGTATTATATAGTAAATCTCATATATATATATATATATATATATATAATTAAGAAGAAAAAAATAACCAACCAACCAACCAACCAAAACATTAAAAAAAAACAAAAAAAAGCACCAACATAAAGAACATTGCAATAATAATCATTCTCTTTCACTTACAACAATCATGTTCTGGCGCTTTGGTTTTCACAACCCGTCAGCAATCGACACCTTGCTCGATCGAGAGGACATCACCCTAGAAGACTTGATGGATGAAGAAGATCTCCTACAAGAAGCAAAGTCCCATAACCAGAAGCTTATCGAATAGTATCCTTTTTTATTTATTTATTTATTTAATTATCTATATAATTATATAAATCTATAAATGTATACTATGCCTATAAGACATAATTACCTGTATTGATGTTCATTCATCCACATCAACTATTAACGCGACACATTCCAGTTCTTTCATATTATCTCTTTAACTACTTCTACTTTCTCTTTATATATACATATATCACTTTTTTTTTTAAAAAAAAATATAACAATCAGTCTCTGCAAACCTCACAACATTAGCAAGCTCCTTGGCTACATTACTGCTACCCATCTCGAGGAAGGACAACGATTCAAGTGCGTATAAGAAAAATAAAGGCTAGATAATAACTTTATGGTTTGATTAATGAGCAAGAAAGAAAGCAAAAAGAAGAAGAAGAAGAAAAGATGGTATCTTTCAATATATTAATCAATTGATTAATTGATTAAGTGATTGATATTGTTATTTTTCAAGCAAAGAAAGATAATTTTTTTAAAAAAAAAATTAGATGTCTATTAACAATACAAACACTTTATAACTTCTTTTTTTTTTGTTCATTATATAAACATTAGATATCCATTCCTGGCTTGCGAAATCATAGCCTGCGAAATTCCGCTTATTATTGACACCATTGTAATCGAACACAAAGAACTCCTCGAAGAACTGTGGTCTTTTCTGGATCGCCCCGCAGCGCCCAGACGCAAGATTGTTCCAAAATCAGACCAACCAACAACCACCGCAATTACAACCAACGACAACAGCAACAACGCTAATAATATTTCTGGTAACACTGATGTAGCCACCAATACAACCACGACTACAGCTACAGCTACAGCTACAGCTACAGATACAGCTACAGCTATCTCAAACGAATCAGAACCTGTTGGATTGGATTCTTTAAAGGCATCCTATTTTTGTAAAGTCATTACTGTTCTATTGACAAAGCAGACCCAAGAGGTAAATATCAATATAATTGAAAACTAAAAAAAAAAAAATCAAAAGGAAATTCAAGTGTGGTTATTTGTTTCACTAATAAAATTAATTATATAAATTTATAATTAAATTAAATTTTATATACATATCAAAAGATGGTGGAGTTTATTAGATCCAAGCCTGATAATCTGTCAAAAATTCTCGCTCACTTGCAAACCTCTGCTATTATGGACCTATTACTTACACTTGTTCACCTAGAAGAACTTCCAGAAGCAAAAGGAATTGTACAGGTGAGTTGCAGATAAAATAAAATAAAAACACAAACATGGGATATGTGAATATGTAATGATATATGTACTGCGAAAAAAAAATGTATTAATCATTATGCATACTGTTTTATTATTGGTGTCGGTTCATTTGCTCTTCTTATCCTAGTGGCTGAGTGATCAAGGTTTATTAGACGACTTGGTCGATAGATTGAATCCTTACCTGGATAGTGAAGTAAGTAACATTCATATATATATATATTGGCTTGGCTTGGCTCGGTTATTCTAATGTCCTTTTTTGTTGTTGTTATTTTAGGAGCACTCGATAGCTCAGCAATGTATATGTGAAATTATTCGCATGTCCCAAACAAGTCTTACAGAATCCCCCAGTATTGGTGTCAATGATTTGATTATTGAACTAAAGAGGTTTGTTATGGGGATTTGCTTTTAGAAAATAAACATTAGAGGCCAATGTTAAAAGGATGTCTGCTATAAGACATTATTCGCTCAGCTATTGATTGACTGTATTATTCTGCCCATGTGTTTTTATTTATACACATAAATCGTTACTATCATTTGCTTGTAGTGAACGAATGATGAAAAAATTAGTGAAATTTATGTTGAATCCCGATGCTCCTAATTCGACCTCCACATTGATCAATGGTGTCACCATCATTATTGATCTCATTCGACACAACAACAGGTAAATTAAATAACATAAAGAGTGCCAAATACCAACAGATATCATTATTATTATTTTTTGTATACTTAATACGATCGTTTTGGTTTTTTCATAAAGTGACATGGATAATGATCCAATGGCAAATGGAAATTATGGATACCAGGCAAATGCATCACTCAGACACCCTACAGTTTCTCTTGCAGACATGTTACGTGTCCTGGCTGATCATGTAGGAGAATTCAATAATCTTCTCTTGAAACCTAAATCTGTGGTGAGTGTCTTTTTCTTCTTCTTTTTCTTTTTATTCTTTTGTATTGGATTTCATTTCTCTTTCTTCTATTCTAATACTTGTAATTCTAATTAATTTAATTCACAACAATTCTTTGTGTAATTAACATAATTTCTGATCATTTCTTTTTCTGTTTTGTGTGTGATTTATGTATACATTTATAATATATAATAGACAGGACCTATGAAGACATCGATTGGAGAACAGATGCCACTGGGATTCGAAAGATTAAAGATCTGTGAACTGTTTGCAGAATTGATCCATTGTTCAAACATGTCCAATCTCAATTCATCTCCAGACGACAACGACGACACAAACGCCGACTCTAACCAGACAGACATAAAGGCACTCGATCAACAGCAGCAAAAACAACAAACCATGTCTGGTGATAATCAGTCCAAGCAACAAGCTTCCTCTTCTCCGTCCCCATCTCCGTCTCCTGTCAGATTGACAGCCAAGGACATCGAACAAGCCAAGTCAGAGCCCATTGGTGACTATCTCAAAGTAAAATTTGTAGAGCACAAGGTCATGCCTACCTGCACCGTAAGTATTTTATATATATATATAAAGACACAATCTTGATGATCTTTAAATCTTTGATAACTAAACTAAAGTTGGATTTTATGCAAACACACACACACATATGTACAAAAGGATCTGTTCTTTTCATTCCCATGGAACAACTTTTTGCATTATGTAATCTATGATATGCTTCACCAAGTATTCAATGGACGTATGGACAAGGGATACAACCGCACCCTGGCCATCTCAATCTTCAAGGACGGTCGTTTGACAGATCGAATGGTTCAGGTTCAAAAGGAAAATGATGAAGCATGGTAAAGAGA